TGCCCTTGGTGACAATCTCAGCTAGAAAAGTAAAGGATAGGAAGGCCACCATAGAAGTAGCCTCTTGAAAGCAGGGCAGAGACATGCTGATGGGGCATATGGGAGAAGCTTGCTATGTCACTGTTTCTCCTGTACTATTCTGTGAATAAACAGATGACTTAGGCCTGGTCTCTACACAAACTTGCATCTGTTTTTGCTAAAGAAGTGGTTTTAAATAATTTTAGTCAAACTGGCGAAACCCCTGCAAAGACACGTATCGCCGTTTTAAAAGTACTTTATAGTGATTTAGCTTAAGTCACTTCCTTGTCCCGAGCTAAATTGTCATCAGCCTCTCAAACCTTAATGTGTGTCTGTGCAGGATTTTGCACCCATTGAACTAAATTGTTTTTTAAATGAATTTAAGTTAAACTGGTGCAACTTTCTCATGTAGACAAGCCTTCGTATCACCAGTGCTGTCATTTTGGTACCCAGAAGAAGTACTAAATTAAAAAGAGAAATCGCTGCTCCATTAGGTTATGGCCACTATTGCATAGATTCTGCTCCATAATTACTAGTACATCTCCAGTACAATAACATCCTCTGGGTTTCTCAAAACAAATCCATGAATGGTTCCCTTCCTAATCTAACTCCATCCCTCACACAGTATGAGAGTGAACAGATTTGTATCATGTTACATGCATTAATATGTAGGCATCTGGGTAGGGAGTAGAACTGAGTGTACAAAATGCTGTTACATGTATTTTGTTGTGGGCACACACTTATTAAAGACAAAGGCCCGGATCATTGTTTATTCCTCACGGACTCTCCCAAGGGGTGAGGTGGGGGGCGGGGACAAAAGGGCCAGGAAAATCTGAGTTTCAGGTCTATAAGGAGAAGCCACAGTGTGCACAGGGGGCCTAGCTATTGAAATCCACCACCCCCAGGGACCTGCATGAAAGTGATGAGTGGAGGCAGAGGCCTCCATGTTGCCCCTGGCTCCCTGCCGCTGATAGCAGAGCTCCTAGAGGTGCTGACTCGCTCATAACTGCATAATAGAAGCTGCAGAAAGGACATTGCAGGAGTTATACTGCTTGGTTTTCACACTGTGCTGTTATCTGCTCTTTTACTGACATGCCAGGTTGTTGCTTTAACCTCCAGATAAAAGATTCAGTAAAAGTCAAAGCATGACTCAGACCAAGGACTAAATTCTTTGTACGCTACTGTGCAAAGGTCCCTCTTTATCAGGGAATGAAATACAACTCTGATTACCACATAACAGCAAGAAAATATGGAATGTTAACCATTCCGGTCATGAGAAAGGCATTACAGAGCGTATTGGAAACATGCAGCCAAAAAGGAGATCAGAGCTGTGATTTGTTATTAAGACATTCACACTAGATGGGAAGCACTAAGTAACATTAGGGATAGCTCAGTGATTAAGCTGTTAGGCTCTCTTTCTTCACTCTACATGCAGGAAATTACAATTTCAAGTAGTGTATGATCTTTCTAAGTCTTTAAAGGGGTCACGCACTATGAGCATCTGGCATGCTTATGTTGTCATTCAAGACCATGAAGTCATCTTGCAACTTGCATTCCTAATAGAGCCAATAATGTATAATTTTTCATGTGTCACTTTATTGACTTGCTAATAGAACAGAGATTAAAGGTAATCTAAGAGAAGATAGACTGTGCATATTTAACAAAATTACAAGGCCTGCTAATTTTAATTTAATTAAATTGGAGTTTGGATAATATTTTATAAAGAAAGTCAATGTTGTAAGAATAAATATACTTTTTAAATCTTATGGTGACAACCCATAGATCAATTAAGAAAGAACCCCAGACTTATCCAGTGAAATTAACATTGTGAAATCCATCAAAGACAACATTCAAAGTTAAGGTTGAGGTTCTACCTTCATGTCCCCCTTTACTGAGTTATTGCAGCTCCTATTAATCCTGAACATAAGAACAGCCATACTGGATCAGACCATAGGTCCATCTATCCCAGTACCCTGTCTTCTGACAGTGGCCAATGCCAGGTGCCCCAGAGAGAATGAACAGAACAGGTAATCATCAAGTGATCCATCCCATCACCCATTCCCAGCTTCTGGCAAACAGAAGCTAGGGACACCATTCCTGCCCATCCTGCCTAATAGCCATTGATGGACCTATCTTCCACCAATTTATCTAGTTCTTTTTTGAACACTGTTATAGTCTTGGCCTTCACTACATCCTCTGGCAAGGAGTTCCACAGGTTGACTATGCATTGTGTGAAAAAATACTTCCTTTTATTTCTTTTAAATCTGCTGTCTATTAATTTCATTTGGTGAACCCTAGTTCTTTGTTATGAGAAGGAGTAAATAACACTTCCTTATTTACTTTCTTTACACCAGTCATGATTTTATAGACTTCTATCATATCCCCCCTTAATCATCTATTTTCCAAGCTGAAAAGTCCCAGTCTTATTAATCTCTCCTCATATGGCAGATGATCCATACCCCTAATAATTTCTGTTGCCCTTTTCTGAATCTTTTCCAATTCCAATATATCTTTTTTGAGATGGGGCGACCACATCTGCACGCAGTATTCAAGATGTGAGCATACCATGGATTTGTATAGAGGCAATATAATATTTTCTGTCTTATTATCTAGCCCTTTCTTAATGATTCCCAACATTCTGTTCACTTTTTTGACAGCCCCTGCACATTGAGTGGATGTTTTCAGAGAACTATTCACAATGACTCCAAGATCTCTTTCTTGAGTGGTAACAGCTAATTTAGACCCCATCATTTTATATGCATAGTTTGATTATGTTTTCCAATGTGCATTACTTTGCATTTATCAACATTGAATTTCATCTGCCATTTTGTTGCTCAGTCACCCAGTTTTGAGAGATCCTTTTGTAGCTCTTTGTAGTCTGCGTGGGACTTAACTATCTTGAGTAGTTGTATCATCATCAAATTTTGCCACCTCATTGTTTACTTCTAAGGTCATCTGGTTTCTGGGATTAAATGTCTACAACCCATTGCATTAAAGATTGCGTCCCATGCCACCTTGACCAGGGCCGGCTCCAGGCACCAGCTTCTCAAGCAGGTGCTTGGGGTGGCCGTTCTGGACAGGGGCGGCAGTTCCAGGTATTCGGCGGCAATTCGGCGGACGGTCCCTCACTCCGCCTGGGAGTGAAGGACCTCCCGCCGAATTGCCGCCGCAGATCGCGATCGCGGCTTTTTTTAGATCGCGGCTTTTTTTTTTTTTTGGATTTTGGCTGCTTGGGGCGGCCAAAACCCCGGAGCCGGCCCTGACCTTGACTTTCCAGGACTAGATTCTCTAGCCTGTTTGCACAACTTCAGTCATGACAACTAGAATCTTGTCACATCCTGCTAGCTCAGAATTCTCCCAACCTGGGGAAGTCTTCAGCTGGCATAAAACTAGCATAGCACCCCCTCCTCTTCCTAGTCCGAGGGGACATAAGTGGCAAGAAGAGAGCTGGATCTCTGTTTGTTACCAGCTGGTGTATATTAGAGCAGCCAGGAGCAACATAATGCCAGCCTGAGAATCAGGGAGCCATATCTGGATGTTTTGCAGCCCTTCTGACCTCTGCTGGGCCCATTGGACACAGTAGTGACCCTGAACTTGCTGTCAGTTCTTGTCACAAATAAACTACAGGTAGAGATGTGTCCACTCACTCAGGAGGGCTGGAAAATAGTTCCCTTCCGACTCTATGTAATAGCATTGCCATCTCAGATGCCATCCTAACTGAAGCATCATATAACCATGGCAACTCTCCAGGGGCAGCATGTTTGAAATGAGTTCTGCTGTTTTCAGTATTGTGCAGTTGTGACTCAGAAGTTATGTGTGATAATGTGCATCAAATATAATGACTTAAGTTCTTTCAATCAAAATATTTGCCGTTGCAGGTACAGGAGCAACTGGGGAACCTGTTCAGTAAACAGTGTTGTTTTTGCGGTAATCACTAGTCCTGCTCTGACTGCAGTCAATGGCCGTTTTGTCCCTGAGTTCAGTGGCAGAAGGAACAGGCCCCAGAATCTTCCCAGGCCCCTCTTCTGTCCCATGCTTGGAGCTGAACTTATCTGTTTTTGGAGGGATGATCGAAAGTTAACAACATGAATTGCACAGTGCACTTGATTTTAAAACAGAAACAAGCAAAACTCCCAGTGACAATCTCCTGACACAAATTTTATTTTATAAATAACTATTGCTAGGGGTGAGCATGGTCACATGCAGAGACATATGCATCTGTGTTCTGCATATGCTGACCTATAGGACACAAAGGATATCGGGTTCAGTCTTGGCTCTAATAGACTAGTCAGAATTGGAAACAATGACTATAGTGCCGTCAGCAAATTTCTGGCTCTCCACAGACTAGGAAGTGGTTGCTCCTCATGGGAAGACAGATGAAGAAGTAATTCAGAATCACTAGATGGGTTTTTCTGCAGCTGAAAGTGGACGTTGATTTATTCTTTTAAAGAAAGCCATTTTATGTTATTGGGCACATTAGGAGCCTTTTTGATGGTTTGTAGGATCAATTTAAGTTAACTAGAATAATGTTTTGTCATGGTAGGTACACAATCTGCATGCGTCATGACTACAGTCTCTAAGAAACTTCTGTTTATAATGAAACGTCTTTGACTAGGCTTTAGTTACTAATCCTTGATGTGAATCAAGCAGAGGGCGAGAGAGAGAGAGAGAGAGAGACT